GAACGATGTGGTTGTATTAAGTTTTGTATGTATATGTATGTGGGTGTGTGTATATAAGTGTGTGTGTGGTTATATAATAAAAACGCACACAGGTCTTATACACACGTGATTAAAGAAGGATTGATAGTGGATGCTATCCGTGGATGGATGTTTTTATGCCACCGAACCACACAGAAGCACAGAAATAACTTGCTCATCTCCGTGAAAGTCGAACTACAAAAAACGAAGATGCATCATGGGTATTGTAGTGTTAAAACGCACAGGTGGACTTTTAACACTACCCATTGCCCTATTAAAAGGCCACGTTATATGTTTGTTGGAGGGCGTTGTCTTTAGTGCCAACCATGACATTTTCTCTAAGGTTAACGTTAGTGGCTTTTCATGTTAACCTGTTTTTTTATGCCTCATATTAACCAGAAAGTGGTTTTGTGCCTCATATTAACCAACTGACAATCTGAAGCCATTCTATGGGACTGATAACGGCCTATTAACGTCCATTTCATGGATGATAACATCCGAAGTGGGTGCACAAGAGACGTCGGCTGTGTCTTCCGTAGTGCACATTTATAGGCTCAGCTTCCTCTGTCATAATGAACAGGTGTTACACCATATTTTGTGACCATCATATATTGTGACCAGAGGGGGCGCTGTTGCGTTTCTACAACAGAACTTGGCCGAACATGGCCACAAAGAAGAATGATATGCCAACAGTGTAACCCAGAGGTCACAAAATATGACAACTGTTGTCATATATTGTGACCTCACTGTAAGGAAATAGTAAAAATTTTTATTCAAAAACTATTTATACTAAATGTTTACATCCTCTAGTGTCAGAAAAAAAATTTTGATCACTGACATGGTGACTGTTATTAAATTAGTACAGAGTCACATAATATGATAGTTATTACCATGTATAGTAGTAATAATAGTAGTAGTAATATTAATAGTCAACATGCCAGTGATCAAAAGTTGTTTTTCTGACGTTAAGAGGATGTAAACAATGAGTAGAAGCAGTTTATGAATAAATATTTGTATTATTTACCAAGCTACAGTGAACAGTTGTCATATTTTGTGACCTCTGGGTTACACTGTTGGCGTATCATATTCTTCTTTGTGGCCATTTTTGGTCAAGTTCTATTGTAGACACGCAACAGCGCCCCCTCTGGTCACAATATATGACGGTCACAAAATATGGTGTAACACCGGCACCTTGTACCTGCACAAACTGCACATATCCATCTGCACAGGACCCAACTGTAACTTTAAAACATTAACAGACTTAACAAGTTCTTACTCTTAACAACTTCAGCACCATGTGACTGTACCAAACTGATCCGGAACAAGGTCCAGAAGAGTTGTTACAGAAATGCCACTAAGTACATAATCCTCTTTTTCTAGTATAAGCTAAAAAATCATCTTAAGATCAGTATTAATTGGATCTTTTGACCATTTAAGCAAAAGCATGTTTGTTTCTCAAACAGAAATGGTGGCTTTCTCCAGTTTCCAGTTGTCAGTTTAACATTTTTTTAATACTTGGGTCCATTTTTCATCTCCTTGAGTTGCCATATCTGCCTCATATGATCACTACAATATCAAAACCACTCTAAAACCAACCAGAAACCAAAATCAGCTCTTTCAGTTCCCCCAGCGAACAGCTCAAACAGGGCCGGCCCGGTGGATTGGGCAGTGTAGGCAAATGCTAAGGGCGCCATCCATCTAGAGGGCGCCACAAATGGGGGATTAAAAAAAAACAAGCTTTATAACCTTTATAACATTTTGTTTTAGAGATTTTGAGAAAATGATTCATGCTTTCATGACAACACATTTGGACTACTGTAATTCATTGTACAAGATCAGTCCTCCCTGCATCGAGTCCAAATGATTCAAAATGCTGCAGCCCGACTTCTAACTGGTACACAGAAACATGAGCGTACAACACCTGTGTTGGCTTCTTTACATTGGTTACATGTAGCTCACATTTTAAGATTTTATTGTTAGTTTTTAAAGTTTTGAATGGCCTTCCTCCAACCTAACTTTTGCATGTTCCTTCTTCATCTGGAACATTGAGGTCAAACAACCAGAAGCTTCTAGATGTTCCAAGATCCAGATTTAGGAGTAGAGGTGATCGTGCTTTTGCTGTGTCTGCTCCCAATCTATGGAACAACTTGCCCTTTCATATTATCATATTTATTAAAGTATAATATGTAAAATTAAATCCATAAAATCATCCATAAAGTTTGGGGGTAGTACTATACTTGGATAAATATTTTTACTTATTTTAACTGAAATATCGGCTTCATTCACAAAATTATTGTGTCCCGAAATGAGACCACGTCGTAAAAAGCAGTTGAAACGAGCTCACCTCTGACACTCCTCCGTGCTTCAGAGTGAGATAATAACAGATCCAAGCAGGTGACATGATGTGGAAAAAAAGGGGGGGCGGGTATTCCTGCACCTTAGTAATGATAACAAACTAAAGACATTAGTGTGTGACCGAGCCGCTCCTCCAACAACAACAAACACATGTTCGTCTGTAATGGCTGCCGTCTACCGGTGTTCTGAAAAAGTTTGTATCCCTGAAAAAAGGTTTCCCCACCAGAGGGGGCGCTCACGAGTAGGAAGTAATCTGCTTTTCCCCCACAAGATGGRCCAAATCTCATGTGAAGTCTCTGACTTTTGTGTTGGCGCCTCCTGGTGGACTATGTGTAAAATGCCAGAATTCAAATGATGCTGCTACAGCTGATATATATTTGTTGTCAAAATACCTTTTAGTACATATGTTGTTAAAATAAAACGAACAGTCCAATGATCATTTTACTGATATGTATAAAGACTGCAAAGACTGAAAAATCTGGAAGTCTGTATGAAATTGGAGGTAGTTTGAGGATTAAATTTTTATGCTTTTTAAGCTAAAAAAAGGAGGGGGTCGTACTATAGATGAGATCGTATTATATATGAATAAATATGATAGATCTGCTCATAGCTTGGAAAACTTCTTAAGACTCACTTTTATTCAGTGGCATTTAATTAAATTAAGGCGTGGTTTTGTAATTTATCTGTTCTTACCATTGTTGGTTTTAAATTATTGTGTATTTTTTATCAATTATTGTAGTTTTGTGATATTTGTGGATTGTTGTGCAGCACTTTTGTGCAGCTTTTAGCTGTTTTTAAAAGCGCTTTATAAATAAAGTTGACATTGACATATGTTATGGTCAGGTTTTAAAAGATTACAGTTATTATTATTATTATTATTATTATTATTATTATTGTTATTATTATTTCCTGCTGCAGTTCTGACAGTTTTGGGCCTTTTGTTGCCCTACATAAAGTATGTAAACATGTAATACATGATTAAAGCTTGTAAACAGTCTTTGATTACACAATGAGCATTAATGGCCCCAAACCATATCATTGACTTTTTCTTGGACTACTTTTATCATCACATTACCACTATTACACTGGTTTTGATGTTGTAGTTGTGCAGTGTGAGTAATCTAAATTATGTTTATTTCCTATGTAAAGTGTATGACAGTGCCTGAGTTTGGATCTCATTTTTTATCGTAGTAATCACACCCATGATTGTGATAACAAGTTAAATCATGTTAGATCTTCAGGCTGTTAGTTGGATTTGTGTCAAGAACCCTTGAAGGAGGCTGTCATCGTGCTTTGAACCACAGTTTTCCATAATCTCAATCAGCTGTGTGCACTTATTTAACAAGTAATCTTGATTAATACGAGCAGGAATGAGCTTCAAATCCAGCTGAACAGAAACTCTTTGACATGTTCAACTCATGATTTTTGTTTTATTTCTGTGATTCTCTTTCCTGACCTGGTGGCAGTTCTTCTTCTAGCTGGGACGTCCTGCACAATAATCGACCTGCTCCCATGCCAAGGTCAACGCTCAACAATCATGACCTTTAACCTTTGATCCCTGGCCACATCTCTTTGTTTTAGCCACAAGTTCACAGAGATTTAACCTCTTCGATTAGACTTTAACACCTCTTATAATACTGTTTAAAGATAATCCACTCACTGTGAGCGAAGAAACAGCACAAGGAAAGTTGTCAAATTAACTCAATGTTTAAAATAATACAACATTTTACAATTTAAAGTAAGATTAGTTAGTAGTTTTGTTTAGCTGCTTGTTGTGTGATGTTCATTGGATGCTTAAATGACAGTTTGTAGCAAAATACAGAAAACAAATATCTGTAAACCTAATCTGTGAATGTTTTATGTTGTAGTCTGAAAGTTTGTGAACAGAGTTTATCTGCAACTTACAAATTAAATATTTAGTTAACAAGCTAAATATTTAACTTGTGACTTAAATATTTAGTTTATAAATTATGACATTTATAAATGTATGAATTATATGGTGAAAAACTGACTTTGAAAAAAATAAATCTGTTCTTTTTTTCTTATAAAAGGCTAAATAAAACAAAATATTGCTGGTAATATTTGACTGTGTAACTTTACAAACGGCACGCCATAATTTCAACACCAGCAATTTGGTTCCTAAAAACTATTAGCTAAAAACATTTTATCTGATAAGCTGAGAAATGATTTATCTTTCAGGTTGCAGGTAAGGTTTTTATGAATTTCTTTTTGGGCCTAACACTTCTTGTCCTCTACCTGTCCACCTTTCTCTTATTTTAAGGGGGTCATTCCTGGGTTCCCTGCAGTACATCCATCCCTTCCACAGTGTAATGTCTGCACTGTAATTCAGTGTTTAATTTAATTTAATTTATTTAATTTATTTAATTTAATCTAATTATTTAATGCTTTCCATTAATAACCCTAGGAGAACATATTGGGAACCGTACCAGGGAACACAGGTATAGACCCTTGTTTAGGCACACAATACTCATGTCATGGTCAGGTACACGTCAGAAAATTAACTGAAAAAGCAGTTATTGGTCAGGTTTAACAAAACTGACTGTACTAAATCATCAAGGGTGACCTCTTCTGGATAATAAAAGAACTACACTAACCAAGACAAACCCTAATGTTTGTCATCAGCTAACAGTTTCATCCCATTGTGTGTTTTTAGGGTAAAAGATCAAGAAAAGTCCAACAACAAAAAACAAGATTTCGCTCTCAGCACGACCTCAGAAGCTGAAAGAAAAGACCCCTCAGCGTCCCCTCGGACCGAGCCATGACGGCACAACTCGGCTCAGGCCAGAAACCCAAACACATCTATCTGTGGGTTTTTTCAGAACACTTTCATTTTTTTTATTATTGTTTTTCACAGAAAGTGACAAAAACCTCTCAGAAGAAGTGAAAGCGAGAAAAAACCTCACCACAGGATGAGCCAGCAGCTGTGTGTCGATGTCCTACGTCACTCACACCAAAATAAAATCAAACGCTTGGAGCAAAAATGTCCTTTTGCCGTACTTTTTACTCAGCCTGACTCAGATCGATTCCTGTAAAAATGTAAAAATATGCAGTATATTTAATTGCTTTCCTCTGAGTTTCTCTAAAACACGAGCCTAACCTTTTGTAAATTTGGTGAGTTTTTCATAATTGTCCCGTTCACTATGAAGTTGTAAAGAACAGCAGACAATGTTTATGAAAGCACATGAAATGCTAACGCATGTCTGAGCTGTAGATTCATGTTCTAAATGAACATTTTGGACATGATTTTAAATCAAAAGATCATGTTAGAAATGAATGAATATTTGTGCCTTTACTGTGTTGGTTTTTTTAAATGTAATTTGCCAACACAAGTGTCACATTAAAACACTCAAATGTTTGAAAAAAATTGTCTTTGGGTCATTACAGAAAACTTTTTGCTTCTCTTTTTGCTTCTCTTTTTGCTTCTTTTACTTACTACTTACTACTTACTACTTACTTACTACTTACTACTTACTTACTTACTACTTACTACTTACTTACT